CCCTCCAAGTTGGGCGGGCGCGGCCGGCCGGGCGGGGCGGGGACCCGGCCACTGAGAGCGGGGCGGCTCGGTGAGGGTGGGTTCCTGTACCCAGGGCGGCTGTACCGGCTCCCGGGAGCCGCGAGGGACCCCTGAGGTCTGAGGGCTTCCCAGTCCGAGAGAAAAGCCTCTGAAGGAGAAGAGCTCAGAGCTGGCAGATGGGCCTCCGAGGTGGGGTGCCCTCGGAAGTTGGGGAGGGTGTACCGAAGTGTGTGAGAGGAGGGGGCCTCTGGGCCGGAGAAGGCGCCCCTCTGCTCTGGCAGTTGTGACACTTGTGGGGTTCAGAGGGAGCGGCGTCTGTAGCCTCTGAAGCCCTGGACCTCGGAGAAAGCTTCTTCCCTGGAAGACCGACCCGCGCTAGCAGGCTGCAGCGGAGGGTCCTCTGCGCTCAGGAGGGCGGGGGGCGCCCTGCTGACCCTAGTCTTTCTCTCTGTATGTCTGTTTTTCTGAGGCCCTGCCTCTCCATCCCTGGAACCAAGCTACAGGTATTTAGTGAGCAAACATCCGCTGTGCCTAGCTGACGGGTGCCTGGCCTTGCTTTTTTGGGGGTAAACTGAGGAAGGAAAGGGCCCAGTCTTGTCCTGTGTCTAGAAGTAGAAGGACTCTCATTCAGAGGTACTGATGGTCCCTGACAAGATGGCATCGCTGAGAGCAGGACTATTTTCAGGAGATGGAGAGAACAGGGCTTCTGGGAGGCAGCTGAGGCCCTGGCCTTGGGAAATGATTGGGAGCCGTCTCCTAGTCTTTTATGCCCTGCTCCCTTGTTAGTCCCTGAATTCTATACATTCTCATTCTGTCTGACTCCATTCCTTCTTCAGACTCTACCCACAAACCCTCCATCTCCCTCTTTCTCACATCTTCTTCAGTTTTTTTCCCTCAAACACACAGTCATACCCGAGCCCTGACCTCTCACCTACCCTGCCCCTCTGTCCATCTCTGTCCCCTGCAGCTGCCCCCTCCCTTCCTTGCCCAGCTTCTGGCTCCCACACACATATCCACC